TTAAACTTTTTTTATTTATTTTTTAATGACCGATCGTTTCGTTAGATAAGATCCTTATTCATTGTCTGGTGTCGTTTAAAGCCCTTTGAAGCTGCACTGAAAGTGTCTTTTGGACCTTGAACCGTTTGGTTCCGAATGAAGGCCATTATAAGGAGAAAATGCTGGAATGTTTTCATCAAAAACCTTAATTTCTTTTCGACTGAAGAAAGAAAGACATGGACATCTTGGATTGGATGACATGGGGGTGAGTAAATTATCAGCAAAAGTTTTTTTTTTTTAAAGTGACCTACTCCATTAAATGTAATCCAAATGAGAGAAAAACGGCAGCAATATTAAAAAAATAGTAATAATTATTTTTGCTTTTCTTGACACTCAAAGTGCTATACATAGATGATTAGTAGGCGATAATGGACAGAGGCCACTGGGCAAATTTGGCCAGGATACCAGGGTTACAAGCCTACTCTTTCGACTGACATCCTGGGACTTTTTATGACCACAGAGAGTCAGGACATCGGGTTTAACGTCTCATCTGAAGGACGGTGCTCTGGAGCGTTAGGAGGACCCACATCGACCACAGGGTGAGCGCCCTCTGCTGGCCTCACTAACACCTCTTCCAGCAGCAACCTGGTTTTCTCAGAAGGTCTCCCATCCAGGTACTGGCCAGGCTCAGCCCTGCTTAGCTTCAGTGGGCAACCAGTCTTGGGCTACAGGGTGATATGGGTTGGTGATGGCTGCTGGCTGATATAAAAAGCTGCTCTCTAGAAATGTGTTACTTCCACTGGGAGGCACTAGTTGCTTGCTCCATTGTGCTCTACCGAAAAAACTGCAGGAATTCAACCTGTCCGTTCTGACTGTTTGCTAGCTATGACCTCTTTTTTTGTCATGAATTTTAATGAGGGAAGGCCGTTCTGTCGCATCAGTGTAGTCTGCATCAGTTCTCCATCTGGCGCGCTGAATAACACGCATCATTTCCCACGTGGCGGCAAAAAAGAAAGATGTTTTCTAGGGGATGAGGTTCTACATGATCTTCTGAAACAGGCTTTAATGAAACATGATGTTCATTTATCCATGTACATAACACTGTCTGTGGGGGAGAGTTGCACCCGCTGGTAGTGTCGTTTATTTACGCAAGATGTTTTCGGCGCTTTAACACCTAATTCACTGAAGAAATTATGCAAAATAAATCCGACTACAGTGAAAATCCGTGCTGAATTTAAAGGGATACTCCACTTTTTTTTTTTTTTTTTGGAAATAGGCTCATTTTACCTCTCCCCCAGACTTGAACAGTTGGGTTTTACCGTTTTTGAATCCATTCAGCCGATTTTTTGATATTTAGAAGAAGTAACCAGACAGTTTCTGGTCTCATTGACTTCCATAGTAGGAAAAAGTATATAACATGGAAGTCAATGAGACCAGAAACTGTCTGGTTACTGATATTCTTCTAATTATTAGAAAATGGCTGAATACATTAAAAAACGGTAAAACCCAACTGTTTAACTTTGAGGGAGTGGTAAAATAAGCCTATTTCCCCCAAAAAAGAGGAGTATCCCTTTAAGTTGCATGGTGCAATCTTGAGCACTGAGTTGTGAGTGGTTAGTGAGTTTCACCAAAATAATATATTATGGTGGGCACTTTTATCAATGTATATGGTATTTTTTTTTTGCAGAAATCCTTAATCGGAGGGTTTAGCACAAAGATCTCCTCAATTCTCATAATTTCAGTCTGTAGGCGTAATTTTGCAAAACGAGTTACACTTTAAATAGACACAGTTAGTGATTTGTTCAGATCGATCACTCCCTCTTACAGGAATGATCAAGTGTGAGTAGCACTGCCTGACTGAATACAGGACTCAAGGGATTGCCGCCTGGCAAGATGTTAAGCAGAGCTGTCCAATCTCATACACACACACAAACACACACAGTCGTAGAAGTAGTAAAAGGTTAAGTCACATTTGCACCCAATGGACTGCTATAATGCATATAAATCACCCTTGAGACATGCAAGCTGCTTTAGAATCAGATTTCATTTGCATTTGCTCCGGTCCGTGATGTCTTTGCTGTCTGCAATTAACATTAAAGGAATATCCAGAAGCTTTTATAGCAAAGGTTTGGTACTTTACTCTCTAAATAGATATTGCCAATTTCTAAAATATATGTGAATGGTGCTTGCATGTAAAACCCATTCTGGATGGTTGCTAAGGCATTGCTAGGTCCATCCTTAAGTCTCAATGAATGTCATCCCAAATGCATTTAATTTTCTTTCCTCTGCAGAACTAAAGTTATGCCATGACAACTCTCAAAGTGTTTGACATGATAATGTTTTATGGCAATGTTGATGTGTTTGGTCTTGGCGTAACAGATCTGCTGCTGCTGTTAGTGTTGCTACTGCCAATACACACAACACGGTGCTGCTTTACAATAGAGTGTACATGAATTACCCGTTGCAGATCGTTACAGGGGGAGGTGGAGGGTTCCTAAAAGTGAGCTGACCTGCTAAAGCAAATCCAATGACCAGTGAAGGTTGAGCACACAAGCTCATTGGCTACTGATGCAGCAGGAACCAATCAACTGTGCCCTATAGACAATTATATGAATGTACAACCTGACCGCACGGCAGTTGGTTACGTATTTCACGAGGTGGCTAACTCGTACTAATTTGTACAATTTTTTGCAAAATCTTACATATTTTACGAGTCGCCCAATTCCCCTGACCACGCCCCTAAATCTACCCATCACAATGGTTTAGAGTAGACAAATTGTATTCGCATGACCCCACACAAATTTGTGTGAATGGGCTCTATGCACGGCGGTATTTCCGGTGAAGGTGTAAGGATGCTCGATAACTTCCGCCGATCATAGAGTCCAATGCAATAGCGAGAATTTATATTGGATTTTATACTCCATGGTTATACTAAAGAAACGTTAGTCACAAAAACAGATAAAACAGACACCCCTCTTTGTGTTTATGCTTCTTTTTAAAATTATACTAAATAAACATAACATAACTATATATAAAATTACATCTAAACGTATAAAAGTTTAGTTTCAATGACGGGAGGACAGTAATTTTTGAAGACTCTGCCATAATCCCGTTTTCCTCCGCTTTAATCTCCCCAACCGGAAACTGAAGAGCAGGTTGCGTCAAAGGCGGAACTAATGTGTGCATATAGCCCATTGGTCGTGAGATAGCATTGGAATGTGATAATATTTGACTTTTTTAGGCGATTAATACCGCAAACCACTTTTCACTGCTTACGATAAACAATAGACAGTCGTTTCGAATGAAAAGTTGCATTGAAAAAATGTGGAGTTGTGACTAAATTTGCTCAGACTTTATCTTAAACACCTGCTATATCTCTAGAATGGACAGTTATAAAAACTCAGAAGTAGGTGAACAGTTTAACACCCATAATTCATCACATTTTGTTCATCAAACATTACAAACACGCCTTGACAGTAGATACTGACGCTGCTATACGCTAACCTGGCCCTAGCCAGATGAATGTCGTTCCGGTTAGCTCCGCCTAGCTTCACTCACATCCATCTGGAAACTCTTCCATTGAGAGTGATTTCTCCAACCAACTTTATGGCTTAGCCAATCAGGACGCAGGGCGGGAGTTTCATAGATGTGACGTAGTGGAGTAGTGACCGTGAGACTGTTTTGATTCAGACAACAATGGGCTATATGCACGCATAAGTTCCACATTTGACGCAGGGATGCTCGTCCATTTCCGGTTGTGTAGATTAAAGCGGAGGAAAACCAGAGAAAACGGGATTATGGCAGAGTCTTCAAAATTTACTGTCCTCTCGTCTTTGAAACGAAACGTACATACGTTTAGATGTAATTTTATATATAGTTATGTTTATTTAATATAATTTTAAAAAGAAGCATAAACACAACGAGGGGTGTCTGTTTTATCTGTTTTTGTGACTAACGTTTCTTTAGTGTAACCATAGAGTATAAAATTCAATATAAATTCTCGCTATTGCATTGAACTCTACGATCGGCGGAAGTTATCGAGCATCCTTACACCTTCACCGGAAATACCGCCGTGCATAGAGCCCATGGCGGCTCGCATCGAGGAAGCAAGCGTTAACATTGATGCTACTATTTCATCCGTGTTGTCCAATCTACCTAATATTGTTTCATTAAAAGAACATCAGAGAACGGCTCTGAAGGCTTTTGTTGGTGGAAACGATGTTTTCGCCCTTCTCCCGACCGGATTTGGCAAGCGTCGCTTTTTCCTGCGTTGCTCTCATCAGCGTCACGGGTTGGCTTCGTTGTGAGTGGTTGTAAGTGGCTTATCCAATCATATGCAAGGATTTTTGATAAGGCCCAGCAATCTGAAACGCCATTTTAATGGATCGGTTCCAGATGGATGAGTGGAGCTAGGCGGAGCAAAATTCATCTGGCTAGGGCCAGGTTAGCTATACGCAGCGCCATCTTTGATTTTTAATGAGAATGAAAGCGAGGCTGTGAGGGATAGACTTGCATCTCTTCAATGGGCTGTACTGTTCTTTAATGTGTTTTCGGATTGTTCTGCTCATGAAACACTGGAAAAATATCTTTCAAAGAAATGTCAGTTGACAAAAAACTCCCGACAATGTAAGCTGTGGAAAATTGTAAGTAGCCTAATCTAAGAGCTTTATTCAGCTTTTTACAGCGGATGCCATTGGAAACAGGTAAGTCTATCCCTCACAGCCTCACTTTCATACCTGTCATGGCGCTGCTCTGAATAAGGTCTATAGTAAACCCCGCTAATTAGTGAAATTTAACTTGAAATTTAACTTTAACAATTTAATTGTTTGTTTTTGATATTATATCGACCGACATGCTTGACAAACGTTGACCTATACTGTCTGCAGATCAATTTGAATATAACATTAACCTAGATTCACTACAGCTCAGACTGTTACCTGAATCCCCAGAGAGAGAGAGAGAGAGAGAGAGAGAGAGAGAGATGCGAGCTTGAATACAAATGAGGCTCCCCGTTACGCACACGCGCATTCTCTGCAGCCGCACTGGAGAGCTGCGGTTGAGGTGACGATTTATTCTCTCACGCCTCATTAAGCAGGATTCGCCTGTGCATGCCAGTGCGGTTTACACACAGACCGTGAGCGCGTCTGCATGCGCTAATGTGAGGAAACACTCCACGAGAAAAAAAAAATCCCGTGTGGGTGGGAGGACAGAAGGAAGGAGGAAGAGAGGGAAGCTGGATCGGTTCACAGGAGCTCCATGGCAAACGCGCGTAATGGCCATTGCATAGGAATCTATCCATCGTGACGGCTGCAGGGTGTGAAGTAAGTGGACATCCGTCTAATTGTGCTTATGGTCAGCTTTACGCGAGGGCCATTGTGGACGGTGCATGGTGTAAAGACCGCTTTGGAGTGAATCACCTGGATGCATGAGTGATGTTTCCTGTCCCATATCGCTGGAAATCAGAAGGATATGAAGAAGGAGGGTGGGGGTGTGTGGTATTCCCCAAACGCTAGCTCTAATTACCCTGTATGGCAAAATCCCTTAAGGGTTTTACGCTCTTATTGCCTTCGCATATACATCCCCCACGTTTAATAGCTTGAAATTGCGATGCTGCCGGATGATGCATGTGGTGATTTGAAACGTGCGTGTGTTTTGGAGGTGATCGAAAAACCCAGAGACACTAAATCAATGATTGACAGAGTGATAGACTAGACACGTACTGTAGCCTACAGTAAACAGTGTAATCCAGGTTACAACAACAGCGCGCCAGAGGATTACGCGCTTGAGCATGTGCTTTATCGTTGTTGGGTTGGATAAATCAAGGAATGCAGAGAAAAGGGCGATGTCTTCTTGGTATATGTTTTTGAGTTTCATTTGTGCATTATTTTCTCACCTTCGTGTGGTTCTAAAAAAACCCTTTCTTGTGTGGAACACAAAAAAAGATTTTTTTTAACTACATCTCAAGTTTGTCTGTTTTTGTTTTTCTATGCACTGAAAGTCAGTGTGGTTTATATGTAGTTTGGACCCCAAATATCTTCTTTCTGCTGAAGAAAGTTAAGAGGTATAGAGCAGCATGAAGTTGGGATTTTCCATTGAGTGGCATAAATCCTGCATCATTTAGGCTGGCTTAGACATATATTTATTGATGAGAGGTGAGTTATTACTTTTCTAAGCAATATAATTGTTTTCCCATGGTGGGATTTATGTTTGCCCTCTTAAATACCACTCTTTTGAGGATCTTTTGACTTGACTCGGTCAAGTCTACCTTTGTAAAACTATTGATTAATTTCCATGTAATGGAATTATTTTGTGATGTAGCCTATAGTCGATTGAAAAACTTTAGGGCAGGACTTGATTTAGTCCGTGGGTAATTGATTGGCTATTTGGATGGTTGTGGTTTGCTATTGGTGGATCTCATGTGAGTGACATGTTGTGCCGCCCTCACGCCAGTAAACACATCATCAGAGAAGAGATGAGCTGCAAGAGAGGGAGAGGAAGTGATTTTGATTAGTGATTAGGGCACATGAATTTAAAAATAATGATGTGAATGGATAATTTACTGTATAATAAATAGTGCAATATTCCTTTGGTGACTTTAAGGTAAGACTGTAAATAAACACACATGCATATGCATCTTGCAGGACTTTTGGACTTTTATATCAGTAGGACCTGCTATCTGAAAAACAGACTGTAGGAATTACTGGAAATGTGTTCCATATTTACATTGCAGATCATTTTACTAAAAAGTGCTGAGAAGAATGTGCAAAAATGGCACGTATGCTCTTGTCTTTTGTAACTTGTAAAATGTCAGTTTGTATTGAAGACAAGTAATGCTATATCTATCAATCAATCAATCAATCAACTTTATTCCAGACACAAAGGTCCATAGAGACAACACAGTACAGCTATTTTAAGCTATATTATAAGCTAAACCCATGGTGGAGACTGTTTTGTATTACTTTTCACCATCCTTTAATAACAATCATTCTGAAGTTGAACGCTAATGTGAAAGCTGTTTCAGACCGTCTGTATCTTCATACATGAACCATACTGGAAAGTCAGGGCATGCTTTGCATTGTAATGGAGTTGGTCTAATTGAAGCTCGAGTGTCCTCTGAGGATAGCAGCCTAAACTCGATTTGTCATCCTGAAACCCTCCATCTCTAGAAAAGCCCTCCTTTGTGAAGTGGCTCTTTCAGCATAATGTATTATTTTAGTCATTGCCTTTGTGTTTGTTTATCAGCTTGGCTCTGTAGATTGTATGACACACATGAGTTAGTCATACAGATCCAGACTTTTGACTATCAACAAAGTCTGGCCAACTTTTCAGCTCATCCTGACCAAAACCTGCTCATATGCATCACAATTTGATGAGCTATAAACAATATATATATATATATATATATATATATATATGGCTTTTTAAACAACTTTTTTTAAACAAGGCTTAATCAACAACACTCAAAATCAGTCAACAAAAATTGAATTTAGTTAAAAATGAGTTCAACTGTCATACAGTATACACACACACACAGAGAGAGAGGGGTAATTTACCATAAAAAAAATGAACTAACCTGCTTAAAAATTGCTCATTGTATGAAATTGGTACCTTTTTGCTTGGAAACAAAGCTTCACTTTGTTTCCAAGCAAACTGACAAAGACTCTTAGTAAGAGCTGCAGGATTCTAGCTAACAAATAATTTCCATTACGATCTTGCATTTGTTGTGTGTAAAACTCAACAGACGGTCCGTAATGTGTGCATGTAGGCATCTGAGTCTAAACATGAGTGGACCATATGCTCATCCAGACACTTTATTTCTTTCACCTGCATCATTTCTTTCAAGCTTCAAGCATCTACATAATTATCAAAACACATGTTAACATTTAACCAGAGAGACCCAATTTGTTCACTGTAAAAAAAAAAAAAAATCAGTTTAATTTACGGTAAAATACCAGCAGCACATGTGGTTGCTAGAAATTTACCGTATAAAATACAGTAGCAAGAATTTACGGTAGCATGGGCAGACTTAACTTAAAATTTACAGAAGTTAACCGTATTTCATTATCTGATATAATGATAATTTACTGACCTATTGACCTACTAAAATCAATATCTTTTTTGTACCATTGTAATACACTGACAACCATCAATGAGAGTAACATGATAAATCATAGCTCAATACAAGAATCAGATCATTAGTAAACAGAAGCTGCATAGTCTAATTCGCGCAAACACTAACACTGGTAATACACATGAAATTTTTAAAAGGAAATAAACATTCATTTAAAAACATTGAATGTCACATAAAACCCGAATGTACATAACTGATTAGAAAAAGACTGCAAAATATAAAGAAACAAGTTATTTTAACAAAAATACATCAAATGCAAAGTGTCACGCACATGGGAATTGTGGGAATGTCAATTTACGTTTTTTCACTGTAAATTATACAATGAGTTGTTCATTTTCACTTTCAAAAACTGTAAATTTAACGGTATTTTACAGTAAAATTACATGAAATGTACCATGAGATCTATCACAGTTATTTACCGTTTATAGTAAGGAAAGGTTCTGGTATCCAATTAACAGTTTTTCACTGTAGCATTTTTACAGTCTTTTACCGTTATAATCACGGTCCTTTTTTGTTTACAGTTATATTTAGATGAATTTCCCCCGGGAGCCTTACATTAGAGCATGGATCATGCACTTTAGCTTTCTTTTTTCTCAAAGACATTAAAACGACACATGGGCCGAGTTTTAGAAAAACCTTCCAGTGTTGCCCGGCAACGAGGAAAGGTTTTAAAAAATACTGGCTCCTTTCTTTTATACATTATCTGAGGACTCACACACTGACAGATGTAAAATGTTGACCGCTCCACCGCTGTGAGCGTAAGGCACACTAAAAGCGGAAGCGTGTACTAGATGCTTTCTGTCGTTGGGCTTTAGTGCCTTGCTTCATGTGATATTCATTTCCCTGTCCTGAACTCAGAGGTTTACAGTGTGATGTTGAACAGGCCAACTGACAAAACGCTGCTCTGTGGTTCACGGTCCAATGAAAGCCCAGTCCTAGAGAGTTGTTGGTGGGTTTAGACCAGCTTTGCAAGTAAATGGGACTTTGTAACTACTAACTCGATTGTAAGCTGCTAAAAATGGTTGCACCTTCTGATCTTAACACTATGGTTAATCTTGTAGGTCATAAGCTCTCTGTAAAGGAATGAGCGGTCACTTAATACGGCATCTACCTTAATTGATCCAATTAGCGGCCTTATAGTTTGTAAATAGTATTTCAGTTTGTCAAATTATACTTTAAAAATCCTTTTTGGGTCATGTAACTGTCAGTGGTAATACAATACATTTCTATAAAGGATACACAAGAACAGGAAACACGCTAAATAATAAATCATGAAACAATAAATAGCATTTTTTAATATGTAAATAATGCATATTTTCCATTGCTGGTTTGGGGGATGTTTTGTTTTGGAGATCACTCACTGACAATTTATATAATGGCCACAGTTTTAAGACATAACTGAGCCTGAAAATTCAGCCTCGTTTGTGTGTCTGTCTGTCACAAGTTGGATTAATTAATCGCACATCAAATTTGGCAATGCGTTTTAAAAAAGTTAATACTTGGTCAAAACAATCACAATGCTCTATTTTCTGTTTATTTTGCTAAATAAAAGAATGAAAAAATTGTATGTAAAATAAAAAAAATATTTTTTTATTACTATTATTTTAGAAAGTAAAATATTCTCAAAGCATTGATTGAGATCCCATAATGATGTAATTGAGATTTACGGTAACATTAAATCACATTATTATTTGATCATGTTTTTATATATGATGGTTTCATTAAAAATATGGTGATTATTTCTAAGATGGACACCCGATTTGATATGTACGTAATATTTACTATATGTATCTAACCATGTCATGTCAATAAATGGAAAAGACAGACAGATATGTATTATCATGTTAATTATTGTCCTTTCACTTCAACAGCAGATGCGCTTTTTACCCCAAAAACCATACGTTTATATGTTTTTGCCACTGTAAAAAAAATAATCCTGTAACTATACGGTAAACTATAAAAATACGGCGTGTTACTGTTTTTGAAATTAACAGCTAAATACTGTATTGTCAGCTACAGTATAAAACTTTAACCCTCAGGTGCTCTTCGGTCATTTCTGACCGAAAAAAATTATGTTTTGAAATGTTAAAAATCACAGCTTCATCGGAATGTTACGAAACTTGGTGACTTTTATTCCATTGGGTATGTAAACACACAAAAATATTGAGGTCATGATCCGAGCATGCTAAGTGGTCGTAAAAAAAATAGTCACACTTGTGCTCTTCGGTCAAAAATGACCGACCATAGGAAATGAATGGGAAATTGACAAAAACACAAAAACTTTGAGAATTTTTGTGTGTACAATCCACAAATCGGCCACGATGCAGAAAAAAAGTGCTCAGCATTGAAGGGGTGACACTGTAAAACATCAAGAGTGCAAAACAGACATACCCACCCCTACGCACACACATACACACACACTTTTATACACAAAAACACCAATAAATTGTGATTAAAGAAATCTGTTTTGAATATTTAAAAATCACAGCTTCTTCAGAAAATTACGAAACTTGGTGACTTTTATGGCATTGGGTATGTGAATACACAAAAAAATTGAGGTCATGATTCCAGCAATTTAAGTGGTCGTAAAAAAATGAGTCACACTTTTGCTCTTCTGTCAAAAATGACAACCCATAGGAAATGAATGGGAAATTGATACAAAAAATTTTTGTATGTACAATCTACAAATCGGCCACAATTCTAAAAAAAAAAAGTACACCGCAGGAAAGGGGTGACACTCTACAACATCTAGAGTGCAAAACAGACACACCCACCAACACACACACACATACAAACACACTTTTATACACATACACACCAATGAATTTTGATTACAAAAAGTATGTTTTGAATTTTTAAAAATCACAGCTTCATCGCGATGTTACGAAACTTGGTGACTTTTATGGCATTATGTATGTGAACACACAAAAAAATTGAGGTCATGATCTGAGCGTGCTAAGTGGTCTTAAAAAAAATAGTCACACTTGTGGTCTTTGGTCAAAAATGACCCCATAGGAAATGAATGGGAAATTGTAAAAAAAAAAAAAGAAAAAAAATTGTGAATATTTGTTTTTTGTCATTTTTTTTATAAGAAATAGTTTTTGACATTGTTTCAACTATACGTATATACAAATCCACCAACAACAACAACAACAAAAATGTGTTCATAAACAGCTGGGGAATTCACATGCCTCTCAATAGAGAGCTGTACATGCCATCAAGTGGTTTCACCATGATTCTACGCTTTTTCTCTATACTGTAACCAGATGGTGCTAATTTTCTTCAAAAAATATTTTTTTTCTGAAGGCCTAGACTCTATATTAAACTAAAATACTGCATTAATATTTTTTTGAAGAAAATAATATATATATAGAAAATAATATATATGTTTCTATGGCAAAAATAAACCATACATGTTGCATAAATATTAATAAATTCATTTAAATTGTCTCAAAATACTAAATTAAAAAGAATAAATATTATAGAACAAAAATAAATTGCATTGGTTTTACTGGGATGGAGAAAGTTTCATTTTTAGGTGTCCGGTCACTTTTGACCGGGAAGATAACAAGTGTGACTCCGAAACGAAGAGCACCTGAGGGTTAATTTAACAGCTAAATGCTCTAACACAAAAACAGTAACACGCCGTATAGTTACGGTATGATGCTGGCAACAACAGCTGCCAGTAGTTTACTGTTTTTTACAAGATTTTTTTTTACAGTAAGCTCCATTTTTTTATTAATTAAATCATTTAAATGTAAAGTCAGATATCTAAAGGAAGTAAAAGAATCGCTTACATACATAGGAAGAGGGCAAATGAAAGAAAAAAGGATAATGAGAAAAATTAAAGATTAACCACCATACATTTTTAGAGGAAAACAACACTAAGTTTTAGGCTCCGAGTTATTGCATCATGTTCGTCACAAATCAACTGGATGGATGTTTCGTTTATATATAATCATGCAAGAGAGGAATAGCCTAGATGTACAAGGACAAATGAGTTATCGCGTTTTCTAGCACATGACCTGTTCTTTCTTCCTCTCTCTTTCATGTGTGAAGACTAAAGTAGGAGTGCGAGAGGAGTGTGAGAGCAGAAAGAAGAGGGATCTACAATGGCAGCAGAAGAGAAACCTGCAGTGAAGAGCAGTAGCTCCATTCTACCATGTTTCCTATTTGTAGAGGTGAGTTATCAGATAAACATAATAATCCTGAACTAATCCTGGCTATAATTAGGACTTCATCAGGCACTTTAATGAACTCTGAATGGGCTTGCAGTCAAAATATGAGGTTATCATGACCTGAAAGGAAGTGAAGCACAGATCAGCACCATCAGTGGTGTTATTGACATGGAGAAAGGCTGCAGTTCACAGTTCACTTAGTATTGACTGTAAAAATACTCAAAATAAATGCATCTCTAGCATAGTGAAGCGTGGAGGAAGAGTGTTGGGAAGAGGAAGAGCTACTGGTGTTGGTGAGATGCTTTACTGTGAAAACTCATTAAATGCTTTGGAGAACATGAGAATACTGCAGAAAGTGAAAACTTGTTATCCAAAGAGGAATTATCAGATGTTATTTTTCAACAAATCAATGCTCCTGCGCACACTGCAAAGACAACCAAGTGCCCTGAGAACAAGTCCCTCAGTTTTGGCCTGTCAGAGTCTAGATTACTATACTGTGCTACCGTTTGGGATTGCTGAGATTATTTTAATGTTTTTGAAGTCTCTCAAGTTGAGGAAGGCTGTTCTGTTTCTTTGTCTACAGTATTTGAGCAATTCTTGCTAATTTCCTGACATGTGATTTGTGATTAAAATGGTGAAGACCATTAAAAGACCACTAAATATTTAGTGTAAATATTTCATAAATATAAATATTTTTATATTTTTGGATTGGTCCTTTTGCTGCCCGGGAGTGTATATTAATAAATAGTTTATGTTAGAAAACAGTGATATTGTAAAATAATATTACAATTTAAAATAGATGTTTTCTATTTGAATATATGTTAAAATGTAATTTATTCCTGTGATCAAAGCTGAATTTTCAGCATCATTCCTCTAGTCTTCTGTGTCACATGATCCTTCACAAATCATTACAATAGTATAGGGGAGAGTGGGGTAAGATGAGCCAGTGGGTAAGTTGACCCACCAAGGCAACTTTTATAGTCATTTGATCATATATTTTGGAATCACACATCTTTTCTGTCATATGTAATGGTTGTAAGATGTAATGGAGATGTAATGGTTGTTGAAGCAAATTTGTCCAGTTCTAAAAATATTTATGGTCCATATTGATGATTTAGCAATGTATAAAACCATCCAAATGATTTAGATAAATATTAGTCAGAGTTGGCTGGCTAGTTTTGTCCAAAATGGCAGCTATGGCGCAAAGTGAGGCAAATGATGTGGGGTCAGTTGAGCCAGCATTTTAACTTACACCTAAGACACTGTAGTTAAGTTAAATCTATGAAAAATTAACTGGTATAATATCAATTTAATATTACACAAACCGTTTAGTTTATTATTATTATTATTATTATAGTTTATGTGATAGGAACAATGAACAAGTACACCAAATCCTTCTCTGATAAGAACCAGGAGATGCTAATCGACATTGCAGAAAAACTACCATGCCAAGTGACATTTATTAATTCATTCTAATTCAGTTTTTATTTAATTTTACTCAACAAAGTCTCTGTTTAGTCTGTTTTTGGGAAGGTTACAACTTAGGTGTTCAAAAAGTTGTTTAAGAACTGCAAACAATTAAAGATATTGACATTTCAACTTCATTTTCAACTTTTATGTTAAATTATCTTTATGAAAAGAAATCCAATGATTTGTTAATTGATTTTTAAAAGGGAATTGGATTATTAAATTACTTTCTAAAAGCGGTAAATTATCTTTAAATCTTCTTGTTTGTATCAGAGTTTGAATCAGATTCATTTAGATGGTCAGTTTACACCCAGATGGTGCAACTTACCCCTTGACTCGGATCAACTTACCCCTAACTTGTGGCAAATTGAGCCACATAAGCACTTTTTTAAAATAAAAATTATTATAAAAGCCCATATTTTTAGAAACCTTTGTCATGGATGCAGTCTGACAATTCAAAATTATCGGAAAATTACTTACTTATATATATAGTTTTAGTACACTCATTTCCCCTTATCTTGAAGACCACATATTAATAAAAAAATGGCTCATCTTACCCCACTCTCTCCATATATGAGAAATTATACATAATAAGTTTTATTAAATTATTTCTATGATTCAGAATATTTCATGAAGAATACTTGTCAAGTCAGTTCTCTAAATCTCTAGTTTCTTTCGTTCTTTGTTTTCCTGAAGGATGGGAGGATAACGGACTGAATTGTTTTTGTTGTGTGTTATTGTGTGTGAGCTCGCACACTAACGTTGCGTGTGCATCACAAACACATCACGACACTGTTGTTACTATGGAGACCAATCAGCTGGATCTGGATCCCGTCTCCCTTATCATGTTTAGATTCTCTCCCCCACACGTGTAAATCTTCTCTATGCTTTCCTCCAGTGATTCACCCGCTCATGCATTCACAGGCAGATCCACTGTGCTCTTGCAGAATGCATGGATGATTTTTTGATAAGCCACATTGATTTTTTTTTTCATGTAGCACATTCAACTACTGCTATGACTCACTTTAGCAAGGCTTAGCATAAAGCACGGAAGCTGCGAATGTGAAAGAAACAGCCAGTTATACAACTCAATGGAAGGGTTATCTGAGTGTGTGTTTGAGAGACAGACAGAGAATCTGTAATTCAATTACAAATTTTCAATGAAAAATGCCAATTTACGAAACACAAAAGGGGAAATTTTGAAGAATGTTCACGCTGCTCTTTTTCACACTATGAAGTATACAGTGAGCAGGGATATATTATATATATATATATATATATATATGATGACAGAATTCACAGTTGTATGAAATTGTTGCCTCTGTAGGTGTGTGATGCTGAATGAGATTTGTGTTTCGTATCTCCTATAAGATCCAGCAGAGGGCGAACACTGCTACGCTTCAGTGAACTCTAGGTGAAAGTTGTACTTTATCTATGGATTTGAAGGTTTGTTTGCTTGTCTCTGTGAGTTTGATTTGACTAGATGTCCACAAAGACTAATTTATGTGGAAATTTGCTGGAAATGGTTAAGAGATTAAATGCTGTGGTTTTCTATGGAAAAAAGCCTAACGATGCATAATTAATAAGGTGTATATTGAATTTGGTCTTTAAATATCCCTGTCTTACTACATTAGTACTTAGCACAAATCTATAAGTTTGTGACGTCACGTATGAATAAAAATCTAAATTCTTTATAGTAGAGCCAGACCGATTTATCGGCAGTAATACTATCGGTATTGGCAGTAATAATGGGCGATAAATGAATATTTCAAAAATAAAATAAAAACGGACAAAACATGCTTCAACCATGTCATGAGTGTTGGGGCACTCTACATCACCCCTGTTGGCAACACTCGTGTATAACGCACCACACATCATGTGCATTAAAGTCAGCTTTTCTATTACACGTGTGTGAAATCCAACGACGCCAAGTGTGCAGACTGTCGTTCTGTAATGGATTTAGAATCGCTAAATAGTCGGTTTTAGAAGACAGGCAGCAACTGATGTTTAAAAATGGTTTGATGTAGCTTGATGGAAAGAATTTAAAAAGTGCAGGTGGATAAGCAAGCTGACATTGTAATTATAAGGTAGCTTATAAGGCAATGTAGGGACTGATTATTATTTTATTTATCAGAACTTTAATATATTTAGATGTTCCTCTGTTCTGGTGTGACAATAAAAGAAAAAAGTTTCTTTTTAAAATGCATTATCATATTATTTTAGGTAAAACTCATACAAATAACTAATGTTAGGGAAATCTGTTTATGTTTTGTTGCGTGTTTCTGAAATAAAAAAATATCGGCTGATATATCGGAATATCGGATTTTAAAACCAACAAATATTTGTATGGGTATCGGCCTTCAAAATCCTTTATCGGTCGGGCTCTACTTTATAGGCAATATACCTTCAATATACATGTGAAAATGGTCCTCACACTAATAAGACATTGTTTTTCTTTTAAAAGCTGTTCAATGAAAGGTTACCCAAAATGGTTCTTGAATGGCATCGCTGCAAAAAGACCTTTTAGAAACTTCATTTTTAAGAGAGTGCATGCCGAAGAAAACCCCATCTCCATCTTTCTCCTCATGGGTGGGTCTTTGGGAGCGAATAGCCCTCAGCGATAGCAGATCTGCTCGACACAGTCTCTCTGGCTCCTTTGATGGCAGCGTAGAGATTTACAAAGGCACAGGAAAATGAAAGGAACAAAAATGTATTTTTTTAAAGGAGTTGGACACTTGAACTGGCGGGTCACTGATGAGCGTTGTGAGAGCTGAGTGGTTTGACTCCGTAGGACGATAAATGACTAAGAGTGGGAAGGCAGAGGAACGGTATTGCTTTTGACGGATGAAAGAATAGTTACGGAGACTTGTAGAAAGGGAGGACATGAAGGGAGGATGGATAATGTGTGTTTACAGCCGAGACTTGCACAAACACAGACTAATAACAGACTGATGTTGCTTCTGTAGTCTCCTAACAAGCTGTTAATTGTGATGCAACAACAAAGATGTAGAAACATTATTCATTTTGTGGTGTAAATAGTTTACCTGAGCAGACTCGGAGGTCACCAGCCTAAACCAGACTCTTTTAATGCAAGATTTAATGCATGGATTCATTGATGTTTGCCACAAAAACTACATTTTATAGATGCTGTTGTTGCATTCATCCATCTATCTTTGCTGTTTAGTTCTGCTCATCGGACAGAATAAAAGCCCTTAATGAGATCTGAATAAGAGAGCTGTCACTCAAAGTGCTAGACAGTATTCAGTGTCTGTCAGCTTGAGAACGCCGTTGAAGAGGAAGAACTCTAAAAATACCCAGAAAGAAGAGTCTGATTTCAAGCGCAATTAGAGCTGAGACATTTGAATGACACTAAGAATATGAGTCATATCCATAGGCGGAATTCGCGGGTGGGACAAGTCCCCACTACTTCTTCTAAGGGTGGATATTGGGTGTCTATCCATTTGTCTGTCTGTCGGTCTGTATTGTCTGTCTATCCATCCTTCTGTCTGTCTATGCATCTGTCCTTCTGTCTGTCT